GAGAGGAAGAGAGGATGCGCGGTATAGGTATAAAACCTCGGCGCCAAGATTTGTGGCTCCGAGGTCGGCGCTAGGGATCTTGGCTCTGAGGTCAGCGTCAAGATCTGTGGCTTCGACCTCGCCGCTAGGATCTGTGGCGCCAACCTATCTGCCACGTCAGCGCCACTTGGATGCCCCGTTTTTCCCGGCCAGTCATCTCGGCGCCAAGGCCTACGGCACCGAGACGTGTTACCTCGGCGCCGTAGGCCACGGCACCGACTCCCAGGGTCTAAAGATCAGTTTACGTCGTCCAGGGGTTAAACGTAAATTTTCTTAAAAAAATGACCAAATTACAAAAAAAAAAATTTGGGCCAGCTGGTAGTCTGTCTCAGTGTCTCTGTAGCCGTAGTCGACTCCCAGTTCGTACACAGTACACTGCCTGTTTCACTTCACCTCCGATGTGCTCCCTGCTCCTTTCTGGGAACACGTTGGTAGTACCATTGCAAACTTGCAATATATAACAGGTGCCAACGGAACTGTAGTGCTTCACTGCTCTTCGTATCTCTTCCAATATGCAGACTTTCTTCATGAACTATCCGCGCATCTTCACTGCACTTGGATCTCCAGCTCAATTACACTGATCACAGTGCAATCCTGCCCAAACTTGCGTTGGATAGGCAGGAGATCATGTTCGTTTGACTTATAAGCCGTACTTTTTCAGCCAACGAATAGTATTTTTCTCTCACAATAAATCAGCCAACAGTATTTTCAGCCATGACTTATCAGCCAAACGAACAGGGCATAAGATGAGGCAGTGCAACTGTGCAAGGCAAAGGCCACTAGCTGGACAGACGGGCGCTGCTGGGCACGCATGCATGCACAAGCTATCAGCAAGTGGCCCATAGTTTGGCGCGGAGAGGGGGGCAGGGCATATGGCTGCTGATGGCCCTGAAGAAGAGGCTTTTTTTTACAACAGCTGCAATGATAACAAAAGCCCTGTTCGTTTGTGTTGGTTTAAGCTTATAAGTCATGGCTAAAAGTATCGTTGGCTGATTTAATGTGAAAGAAAAATACTATTCGTTGATTGATAAGTCATGACTTATAAATCAAATACGATCAAGCAAGAAGGCTGAAAATTCCCCTCTCTCCCCTGCAGCTGCTTCAGCACTCAGCTCAGCGGCGGCTCGTAGTAATCTGGAAACACCAGTACAGTGTGAGTTGGGACGACGACCAGGACACCAGCGTGGCTAGTGCTTCACTTGCCTCTGCAACGGCATGCTGCGAGCCTGCGATCTATGCGTTTGGTAGGCCATGCATGCATGGCTGGCTGGCTGGCTGCTCAGCTCTTTGGCAATGGCGTGTTAGGCCCACCACTTGCCCCGTGAGATGAGAACGACACTCTAGTTTTCAATCGGCGTATCATGCACCATGACCACACATGTGCATGACCACACAGCAGCCACTGCAGGTGCAGTCCTATGATTGGCACCAACGGCTAGCTGCGTGCATGCCATATGCAGGTGCAGGCATATGATTCCTTTTTTTTTCCTCCTGAGCTTACTGTATATATCTAGCATGATTCCTTAAGCTTTTACGAATAGTAATTGGCATGGACCGTTGTGTCAGCGGTCAGCGGTACCATAATGTACGTACCACTGCATGCAAAGCATGCACGTCGTAGGAGTACATTTATTGCGTTTTAGTACTTACTCTGCCAATGAGCATCCGCAAGCACATTTATCGTGTTTGTGTAGCAAGCTAGCTCTGTCGACAGATATAGTAAAGATATATATATACACCTAAAGATGAAGGTACTTAGGCCCTGTTTAGTTGCACCTAAAATACCAAATTTTTCAAGATTTTTCGTCACATCGAATTTTTGGACGCATGCATGAAACATTAAATATAAATAAAAAATAAAATTAATTATACAGTTTAGACGAAATCCACGAGAAATCTTTTAAGCCTAATTAGATTACGATTGGACACTAATTATCAAATAACAACGAAAACGCTACAGTAGCGTTTTGCCAAAAATTTTGGCATCCAAACTAGCCCTTAGTGAAAAAGAGTACGTTGGACACAAATGTAATGCAAGCTTTGCACATTGAGTGTGTCCAAACTTCCTTGGTGGGAGTCACCGCTACATAATTGAACATCACTATCGGTCTCATCACTGCCGGATTTTAAAAAACCGACAGTGATAGCCCATCACTATCGGTTTTTTGCTAAAACCGACAGTGATAGGACCAACCGACACTGATATTCGGATATTCACTGTCGGTTCATATCACTGTTAGTTTTAGCCAAAAACCGACAATGATATTGGGTCATCACTGCCGGTTTTAGCCAAGAACCGACACTGATACTATCACTGTCGGTTCGTGGCTTGAACTGACAGTGATACGCTGCAAGAAAACTTTATAAGTTTCTCATATGATGTCCAATGAAGACGAACTTTTTATCAAAGTTGTAGTACTCGACGAGATCTGCTGGTTCACATCACTGTCGGTTCATATCAAAGTTTCTCATATGATGTCCGATATTAAAAAAACCCTATTTTTTTAATGAATTTTTTGGCTTTCCTAGAAACCACATCACTGCCGGTTCATATCAATGTCGGTTCATAAGAACCGGCAGTGATGTCAATCCCACATCACTGCCGGTTCAAATACACTAGTAAAGGGGGTTTTTGAACCGGCGGTGATGTCAAGATCTAGGGTAGTGAGTGGGATGATGCCCCACAATTATTGAGCAATTTGCAGGGAACAAATGGTACAATTACTACATTCTTGTGCCCTGATCCACTACTCCACTAGCATACTCCCTCGGTCTCACTAAGGCCTTGTTTGGATGCTGTCAGATTCATCTCCACTCCAATCCACTCCAACACATGTTGATTGATGCCAATCCGACTATATGTAAACAAGGCCTAAGGAAGTCGCTAGAGTATTTCTAGCACCAATTAAAGATTAAGCGGCAAAATGATTTGGATGCACCTTAAAAATACCAGAGGACACTGATATATAGTGTTAAACAGTATCAAACAGTGCTATAGTGTATCTTTTTTAGGGCAGCTTTTGAATGAGGGAGTATGCTGTGCTCCTGCTCCTTCCATCCAGGGAAGAATCTAATTCTAGCATTTAAACGTTGGTCTAAAAAATTGCAACTCTAACTTAGAACTAGGTTGCTCTAATTATGGTGTCCTAAAAAGGAGTGTCGGTGCTATGCTTTCAGTGGTAGACGATGGCCCCGTCGACAACGAGGCGCCAATGGTGACTTCATGAATCTCGATATTTGTCGGCTCAGTCCTTCAAGGTGCTTATAGGGGTATGTTTTACTTACGTGTATTCATAGGGGTGAGTGTGCATGCGTGTTGGACGTTTACATTGTACTGTGTAATTCAAAATAAAAGGAGTGTCACATATGAATGATCGAAACAAGAGTAGAATTTTAGTTTCTCGTTAATTTTGATTCTCCACTAAGGTTGGGTAGACCACCTCGCTAATATCATATTCCCTCCATCCAAAAAAGAACGCAATCTAGACTTAAAAGAAGTCAAATTTTCTTAAGTTTGGTCAAGTTTATAGAAAATAATATCAATATTTATGTCTCTAAATAGGTTTACCAAGAAAATTTATTCTATAATTAATCTAACAATCACTACCAAAATGGTGGAGTTCTCCTAGTGTTTTTAAGTAGTAATAAAACACTACCACTAGTTTTAGTGTTTTATTACTTAAAAACACTAGTTTTACTACTACTTAAAACACTACCACTAGTTCCCCCCCCCTCCCCAAAAAAACAGTACCACTAGTTATAGCACATGGGAATGCTAAAACACTACCACTAAATGTTGAATGCTAAAACAGTAGGAAAACCCCACATCACTAGGAGAAGTTGCAGATTCTTGTTGTGAATACTATCACAATAGGGTCCAAATTCAGTGATGCACTTGTTTCCCATCATCCTTGTCACTCTAGAGAAAATACATTGTGATATAGGAGACATGATAGGAGAGAAGGTTATTGTTTTTCGAAACAATGGGGTTCAATGTAACAAACCAAATTCTGAGACCACACATGCAATGTGGTGTAGCATGTTGTTCCGCGCTACTCCAAACGTCCAAAAATAGATGTTACTTTAGCTATGGAACTAAACAAATATTTATCCAGATTTATAACTACAATGTCATCTATTTTCGGATAGAGAGAGTGCGTTTCTTTTTTCTTGATGAACTACTCACCCACAAATTAAAGAGGATTCCTAAAAACAAATTAAAGGGACGTGATGAAGTTACAACGAGACAACTAACCTAAAACTTCGTCACCAATTCGTGTACTAGTTTATAACCATATATATAAAGTCAAGAAATTAAAGCAGATATAAGTACTACTCCATGGATCCTAAAAAGAATACTATTCTCCCATATTGAGGAGAAATTAGCACACAAATAAAAACAGATGTACTCCTACTCTTTTATGATCTCCATATGTATTGATGGGACAAAAATAAATGATTGTACCTGTAAACTCTATACTAATTTATTGCATCGTACATCTATAGAACATAATTTTTTTATGATATCACACTAACTTATAAAGCTAGAGTTATATTTTTTTAGAACAATACATAGATCGAAGAATTATATTCTTTTCTAGGACTGAAAGAATACATAAGTAAAAGGCTACCGCGATGATGAATCTGCAAGCACTAGCCTAGCGCTTACAACACCGCTACAGGACACAGGTACTGCCATCACACCACCATCTGAGCAAAAGGCTCTTTAAAGGGGCTGTCCCTGTCCAGACCTCCCATCTGGGCTACCATACCAAGCTCAAGCTTGTCCACCACTTTCTTTCTTTAACCTAAAAAGACAGAAATCTTCCTCGGCATCTCCCTTTCTCAGTAGACACTCGCTCACTCCCTCATGCCCCCAATACCACTTTGATCCTGATCCATCGATCAATTGATCACCACCACAACCCACACCTGCACGGTCGATCTTGTTATATGCGTGCATGGAGGGGAGCAGCCAGCTGTTGGAGACCTGCCTTCCTGCTAGCCTCTACGCGCTCAGTCCATGCGCCCCTCCGCATCCTCTTCTTGCCCCGCTGCCGAACATGCACAAGCTTCTGCAGATGCCGTTGGTCCAGGAGCAGGCTGCGAATAATCATGGCGTGATGCTCTCTTCGGACCACCACGTCGGCGGCGGCCTCCTGTACCCGCTGCTTCTTCCCGGCATCCCGTTCTGCCCCTCCGCCGACGCCGCCACCTGCGAGAAGACCACCACCACCAGCTTCGCGGCGCTCGATGCCGGCGAGGTAAATGAAGCGACTCCCGTGATCCCGTCCCGTGCGCCCATCTGGTTAAATGACTTGCTGATCTGGGCTGTTCCTTGATCCTTGTAATCTTAGTTTTCGCAGGCGGGCCGCACCTCGGCGGCGAAAGCCGCCGTCGAGATCGCTAGTACCACCACCACCACATGCAACGGCCCAAGTTCCTGCAATTGGTACGTATGAGTATGACCTCACCATAACTCATTTGTTGATTCTTGCACGCTTGGGAGCAATAGTGGAGTAGCGTGGTTGACCGATTCTTAGGGTTTCTAGTGCGGGGCGGAGGGGTCGTTCGCGCTGTTGAACTGATTGGGAGCACATCTACTACATCTGTTGATGAGGTGAGCAGGTGGAAGGGCCCAGCGGCGGCGGGGGAGAAAGGACGGATGAAGGTGAGGAGGAAGATGAGGGAACCCAGGTTCTGCTTCCAGACCAGGAGCGACGTGGATGTGCTGGACGACGGTTACAAGTGGAGGAAGTACGGCCAGAAGGTTGTCAAGAACAGCCTCCATCCAAGGTATACGCAGCAATGTATATATGGCGATCCTAAGTTCCTAACCCTAATGCCTCTTTCCAAACATGAATTTTCCCCACTGCTCCTATGGGAATTGAGTTGTTTTAATTTGTCAATTTCTGAAATCAGCTAAACTGTGAAGATTGAAATCAAACCAACAACTTTGGTTGAGATCCATAATTTTTTAAAGTTTGAGCACACACATATATATTTTCTTTAACTTTTTATACTGGCTATATGGAAAATTATCGCTAATTTTTTTGAAAATAAATTTTACATTCTATAAAGCAAACAATTTTATATACAAGTCTATATAGGAACCATGCACAATTCACATTTTGCAAGATGGAGAAAAGGGGTAATCACAAAGATTGATGCCCAGCTTCATTGACCGATCATAGGAAAGATTGATGCCATGGGCATTTATGATATTGTTCAACTAGCTTATCCATGTGAAAGATTAAGGTTGCTAATAATATATCATATGGAATATTGTCCGAAGAGTGAGTGTCGTCCAATTTGACGTGTTCTTAGAGAATAGAAATAAGTGTGCTTGGCAATACTTTTATTTGTGTTTACAAGGGAAAACTGTTTTGTTGAATTTTTGACATATGCAACATATTATCATGAGCCAAATAGGCTTAAATTAGCTCAGATACATCTGGGAGCGGTCCATAATAATTAAGTAACTTTATGGCTAAGTTGTTTATATAGTATATGACATTAGCGCTTTTGATGCATCATCGGCGATAGATGATGTTCAAAAGGCAGCTCTCCATGCTATGTTGATTTTATTTAAGTGTTTCTCTTTTGTTTCACCTAAAAATGTCATATGCATCCGCCAAAATGTTGGTGCAGGAATCACACCAAGCAACCTTTTTCCCAAAGGAGTAGAGTCACAATGGAATACTACAAACCCAGTTCGCTTCGCTGAAAAAACAAGCCGAAACACTGTTCCGGTTGATTTGTTGTAAGAGAAAAACACTGTTCCGGTGAAAAAAAAAAACAAGCTGAAAAAGACGGATTATAAGATAAGCGAACAGGGCAGATGCATTGTTTCTGGAACTCTAAAAATATCAGTTTAAAGGATCTGTAGAAGACATCTTTTTAATTTTCTCCCTGCTTGGCCTAAGTTCTGATCATATATGGTGCGGCATGTCAGCATGCACTGGTAAAACATATCATCATTCATGATCTGTAGCAACAGGACACACGCATGGACATGAGCGAGTGCATATAGATGCGCTGGGACAAATGCCAAATGGTGCACACATATTCACAGCACAATTTCTTCAGACACTCAATGTGCCGTAGGAAAGGCAGGCCGACCTGTCCATGATTGTTGGCCCGTAGTCTCTTTGAATTTCGTTCAGGCTACATGTGTTCACCTGTAAGTGTTTCCTTTTGGTAGAGCGTATAGAGGATGAATCTATGCCTGTTCATATGTTTTCGTCTCATGGGAATGCTTTTGAAAAGTGCCAGAATACAATCACCCATGCCTATATACTACTGGCCAATTAAAATTCACAGAAAATACAAATAGTAGCCTAGTGTACAATCAAAACTCCACCACACATTGAACCTACCTTGTAAAATTATCATTCTGAAAGATTTTTTTTTCCTGAGTTCTCATGCATAATTTTTTTTGAACGAGACTGGAGGGGTTTGCACCCCTACAGCATAAATTAATTAAGAAAAAGGTTCAGTTTACATAAGCAGGAGATTACAGAAAGAAAAACAGCAGAAAAAAGAGGTTCTCATGCATAATTGAACCAAAGGTTGTTAAAATCAGGATTCTAGGTAAGATTTAGTTGGATTTTCGTAAATTTAAGTGGACCTAGCTATTGGCATTATTTCAATCCACCTTAGCCTTAATAATATTTATCATAACCCAATCACTTCCAAGGTCATCTATATCAATATTATGTATCGTAAGATCTAATGATCTTATGAGATCGTGTGGAGTTTTCACATAGGATCAGTATACTATGAAATTTGGGATACATGGTGGGAATGGTATCATTTCGGCTTGGTAGGATAATAGGATTGTAGTATTGTAAGATATAAGATTCTAAGATCACGATCAGGATCCTGACAACCTTGATTAAAACCACATATTTGGGTCCCAAAAATTGATAACTTGTCATTATTTCCATTAGGTACCCAGCATGGTGAAACATGTCACCAACCATTTTTTTTTGGTGATACTCCCTCCATCCCAAAAGAATGCAATTCTAAGTTTGGGATGAGTCGAACTTTCTTAAGTTTGACCAAGTTCATAGAAAAGTATATCATTATTTAAGTCTTTAAGTAGGTCTACTTTGAAAATATATATTATAATTAATCTAATGATATTTATTTGGTATCATAAACAGTAATAAAATTTTTTTATAGATTTTGTTAAATTTGAAATTGTAACTTCTCATGAAGTGAGAATTAATATATATTTTTGGACGGAGGAAGTACTATGAAATTAGACTACCATCACACTGAAAAATCTATCAGTAAACCATTACATTTCCACACCAGAAACATGCACTAGATTTGAACAGAAAAAATGGATATATTCAGTTTGACAGTGCTTACTAATAATGCTTGGATCGATCTTCAGAGGCCAAGAAGGTATTCCTCTAACCTGGTGCCGCTAGATTCATATACAAGCACGAATTGCTCTACATATTGATATTATATTTTTAGTTCAAAGCTTTAAACTTCATAATCTGTGGTTTCAGTTGGCTGGTCAGCCTTTAAATTAGTTATCACTTTGCATGCGTACATCCAGGAGCTACTACCGGTGCACCCACAGCAACTGCCGCGTGAAGAAGCGAGTGGAGAGGCTGTCGGAGGACTGCCGCATGGTGATCACCACCTACGAGGGCCGCCACACGCACTCCCCCTGCAGCGACGACGCCGACGCCGGCGGCGGCGACCACACTGGCAGCTGCGCTTTCACGTCGCTCTAGAGATCGATGCGGGCGTGCAAAGCTTACGTTTGTAGAAAGTAACCAATCAATGAATCAGCAGTAGCTGCAAGGTCCATCGTATTCTACTGGAGACTTTTGTTACATGCATGATGCGTCAGAGAACAATCTGATGCTGTTGGAACGGGGTACGCGTGCCTGCTTAAAGCCTTTAGACATTGCTGCCATGCATGTAAGGCACAAAAAGCGAGGCCAGGCCACCTTGCTGCTGGCTTGCTGGTGTAGCCTGTGTAGGCAGTACACACAATGGTAATCACGTGGGGTTAATTGTACAAAGAAGGCAGCTCGTTGCTCAGCATGCGTGCAGCTGCTAATGATTGCGAAACTGCACCGCAGCAGTTGCTGCGAGCCTGATGCATGCAAGTAAACGAACATGAGCTCTCAGACAAACTTCCATTCACATGCTCTTCTGATGCTCGTGTATATCTGACTGAATGCATCGGGCAGGTACTTATTCGTGGTCGGGAACGCAGCAGCTTGTACATAAATAGCACAAAAGATGACCCCTTGTCTGAAGTTGTTACCACAAGAAGAAATATGAGTTTCAACACGAATATCGTTGTGATAAATAGAAAATGTTACGGAATTAAGTTTTTGACAATGATGGGTACCTTTATGATGAACATGGATTTTTGTCACAGAAAACACAATAGCATGAATGGGTACCTTATGGCGAACCCGAACTTTTGTCACAATAAATACAATAGAGCCCATGACGATTCATATATATATTGGTGATAGAACAACTAATCATTCGGGATTGTTATTATTATTAGAGTGCTCTTATTATTATATACCCTATATATATATATATTTTGAAACTTATTATATACCTATATGCACTTGTGTCACAAATAAACTGCAGTCGAAAAAATAAATAAATTATAGACACGTTGGGCCAATGTACTGGCCCAATTTGTATATAGCCTGGCGTTAAGTTGGCCCATTTCGTATGACCTGGAAGGCGCACACCTCGAGCGACGGCGGCAGCCGGCCGGTGGCTGGGCCGGTGGGGTAGGACCGCAGGGGACGCATCCGCATTGCCCACAGCAGCTAGAAGTAGCAGTAGGGAGGCGGCCTGCAACAACCAGCATGAAAGGAGGGCCGTTTGCTATAGCCTAGCTTAACTGGGCTGTTGGCTTACATTGGGCTAGGCCTAACAACAAGAGCCCAACAAAGCCTGCCACTAACTCGGCGCACGCAACGGCGAGGTCGACGCCGCCGGTCGCTCACTCTGTCTCTGCCGGAGTGCCGGATCCTCCGCCCGCCACTCCTCAGGGCTCAGTCGACCCTCAGCTCCCGCCCATGCCCCGACCCAAGCCCGCCGCTGCCGGTGGTGGCGGCGGCGGCTGGCTCTCAGGGTGGGGGTGGGACCTCATGCTCGGATCGATCGCCGCGTTCTACGCCGTCATGGCGCCCTACACCAAGGTGGAGGAGAGCTTCAACGTGCAGGTTCCAGCCTCTAATCCCTCCTTGTAGTTTTGCTGCAGTATCGTTGTTCCATTGTTGGAGTTCTGGATTGGTCGCATGCTCGCCTTCTCATCCTCCAGCAGCCGTCGATCACCTCAATCCCCCGCCTGGCGTGCCTTGCGGGCTCATCCGCTTCTACTATGATTTGTGGGGCTTATTAACCCTTTTACCTAATTATGGGATGCTGTTATTCATCCTGCGAGCAGTACATGACCCAGTTTCTGTGCAGTAGCTGATGTTTTATGCAACTAGTCGTGTTTACTCACTCTTAACTAGGTACCTCAAATGCTAAAGGATGAATAATTGCTATTTTCTTCGACTCAATAGTCAATGCTTTTATTAGTACGTGTTCCTTTGTTGGTGGGAGGGGGCATGTGGGGAGTTAACAATAACACCTACGCATCCATGTGGTGTGGATTAATTTACTGCTCAACACGGTTGCGTCTAAGATTTCTTCTGCAGCAATTATTGGAAATGAACTTAGTGACTTTAAGGGAGTGTCGTGGCGTAAAATGCAGACATTTTTTTAAATGCATTTGAATATATTTAGTTGGTACAAGTTGTTTGATATTTGTTGGTATGCAATAAGGCATTCTCATTCAGACCGTTTTACAATTATCCACATATGTTGTGCAAATTTCTAGTGTTTCACATTATCGAATGCCAATTTGTATTTCTTTTGCACAAGTCCTGTAACTTTAAAAAAAAATGAAATGCCAGGTGTCCTTTGCCATAGAAGACTTAAGTTGCATAACTTTTTTGTTTCCAAGGACTCAACTGCACTGCACCTGATATTGTTGGATTTATTACTGTTGATGAATACATGTTTCTTTGCCATGGCAACAGTCATGCAGATGCATTCTTTCAGCATTTTCCTATTCATAACTTGAAGAGATCTTATTTTCATATCCCAAACAGAATAAGTTTCGTATCATACCTCAATTATGCAGTAAAAAAAGCGGTACTGTAGTTCTTTTATGCGATATTGTGCTTCAATGCTCTTTGTGTGAAAAGCAACAGGTTTATTTTTCTGGGATTATGCCCGTGAAATCTGTGCTGTCTCTGTTGCTCATTGCATAATGATGAATACCTCTACATTGCTGAGAATGAAGTTTAACTATACTTATACATAGTTTTACATTGTTACCCTTCATCTGATAGAATAGTTTTACCTTTACTGTCATGCATTTCTGGTGATTGAGCTAATCACATAATTGATTTTTTTGGTAGGCCATGCATGATATTCTTTATCACAGTTATCACATCGAGAAGGTAACTTACTAGAATGCTAGCAACTCTCCAAATTTGCTCTAGTATAATATCCTGGTATTCATTGATTGATTTTTACTATGTTTTTTTTTTTGTGGTTTTATGCAGTATGATCATTTAGAATTTCCTGGAGTTGTTCCTCGAACATTTATAGGTAAATTTCATGATGGCATGAAACCCACCCTTAATTTGTGCAGCATGAAACAGTATTTTCTCAATTATCAATTTTTGGACTAATGATTCTTATAGCCTACCATCTAATACTTTTAGCTCCAAGATAATAACATGATTTTTTTTTTGTTGCAGACCTTGTAGTCTTGATGTGAAATTATAACATTAACATGATGTACCATCTGCTTTTTTTCAGGAGCATTTGTTATCTCTATTCTGTCATCACTGGCAGTCTTTGTATTGCGTTTACTTCATGTTCCAAAGTTCTATAGTCTTCTTACAGGTGATCGTTAAAGCTCTGTACATAATCTTCCTTGGATGTTTATGCTATCTGATATTCTGATGTTTAATTTCTCATTGATGCAGTTTTGGAAGACTGATGTTTTTCTGTTTCCTTTTGTAGTTCGATTAACATTGAGTTGTGTCACTTTGATGAGTTTGAGACTTCTCGGAGTTCAGGTTTTCTTTTCTTTCATCTCACTATATCTGACACTGAATACTGTCAGTGTGTTACTGCTTTCTGTTGGTATTGGTATTCTGAAAACATAGTGGTTTACCGAAAATGACAACAACAACAACAACAACATAGCCTTTCAGTCCCAAGCAAGTTGGGGTAGGTTAGAGATGAAACCCACCAAGAGCCCTAAGTCACAGTTCAGGCACTTCAATAGCTGCTTTCCAAGTACTCTTATTCAAACATAGATCTCTAGGTATATCGCAAGCTTTCAAATCTCTTTTTATTGCCTCCCACCATGTCAATATTGGTCTTCCTCTACCTCTCCTCATATTATTAGCTTGGCTTAGGACTCCACAATGCACTGGTGCCTCTGGAGGTCTTCTTTGGACATGGCCAAACCACCTCCACCGATGTTGGACAAGCTTTTCTTCAATTGGTGCTACCTCTAGACGATCACGTATATCATCGTTCCGAACTCGGTCCATTCTTGTGTGACCGCAAATCCATCGTAACATACGCATTTCTGGAACACTCAGTTGTTGAACATGTCGAATCTTTGTAGGCCAACATTCTGCTCCATACAACATAGCCGGTCTAATCGCCGTTTTATAGAACTTGCCTTTTAGCTTTTGTGGTACCCTCTTGTCACAGAGAATGCCAGAAGCTTGTCGCCACTTGATCCACCCTGCTTCGATTCTATGGCTAACGTCCGCATCAATATCTCCATCCCTCTGTAGCATCGATCTCAGATACCAAAAGGTATCCTTCTTAGCCACTACTTGACGTTCCAAATTCACATCTCCCTCCTCCTGTACAACTCCGCCAAAGTCGCATCTCATGTATTCGATTTTAGTTCTGCTCAATCTAAAACATTTAGACTCAAAGGTCTGCCGCCATAACTCTAGTTTTCTATTTACTCCCGCCTGGCTTTCGTCCACTAACACTACATCATCAGCGAACAACATACACCAAGGGATATCTCCTTGTATGTTCCTGGTAACCTCATCCATTACCAAGGCAAAGAGATACGGGCTTAAGGCTGACCCTTGATGAAGTCCAATTTTAATCGGGAAGTAATATCGTTTGTTCGAACACTAGTCACAATGACACAAATAAATAACAGCATGAAAACAGCTCGCAGAAAGATGATCGAGAATTAAATATACTAAAGAAGTCTTTCTTGTGAAATTTAAATATAGTATTATGCAGACTTTTGGTACAATGAACCAAATTTAATTAAGACTGGTGTAGTTGTTCATTACTGTATGATGTACTGTAGAATGTAGATGTATGGTTCACTTGTCTGGAACTCTGGATTCTAGAGCATCACACAACAAGCTGCTCTTCTTTCAAATCCTATCTTTTTTGGTGCCTTTTTCCCCTTGGAAGTTGGGGCAGATATAATTTTGGCATGCATTGTATTGATTAGTGGTTGTGTTCACTGTGATAACTTTTTATTTAAGAGCTCATATTGGATTTCTGGTACTTTTATAATTGGATATCATGTTTTGGTTGACTGTCTTCTAAACAACCAGGTAAAAAAGAAGTTTGGCCATCAAGCAGAAGCATTCTTTGTGGTACTAACTGCTATCCAGTTTCACTTGCTGTTCTACTCAAGCCGTCCGCTTCCAAATATCTTTGCTTTAGCTTTAGGTAAGCACAGATCACACTGTATAACAAAGCTGAAAGCTGTTTCGATCAAGTTTTTGTCAACAACAAAAATGTAGGAGTTTGCGGAGGAAAAAATGTGACTCTTCTATGATTTATGTCGTGCAGTCAACTTGGCATACTCTTTCTGGTTCAAGGGAAGCTACCTATGTACATTACAGGCTCTGGTATGCCTTATGCATTTTTCTGATGCCTTACCTACCGAGCACCACATTCAGATATAATCATTAGTTCCAGCACCAAGATATAATTCTTCGTTTCAGCACCAAGAATCTGAGTCAACAAAGGATTAAAGCTTTTATTTAATTAAAATCATACCGAACTATGTGTATTGTATAATTTTTGTTTTCTTGCAGATTGTTGCAGCAGTTGTTTTTAGATGTGATATGATTCTGCTTCTTGGCCCAATAGGGCTTGCACTTTTGCTCATGAGTCTCTGACCTATGCAATATCCAAACCTATTTTATTTCATTACTTGCATAGTTCTGCTTGTTTCTACAGTTTTACTTATATTTTCAACATTGTATTCCTTTCTAGGAAGTGGTACTGTTGTTCAGAAACATTTTATATTTTCAATATTGTTTCTACAGTTCTACAGAATATTGAAAATTGTAGGGTCGGGACGGTGTTTCTACAGTACTTACAAAATGTGTTGTTTAGATTTCTTGAATGAAGTTCCAAGCAGCTTTGTTCATACTGCTCCAAATTCAGCTTTTGAGTTCTCAGATGTTCAGCACATCACATTTTGTGTTCATGTAGTGAGCTAGGGCAATATCTTATAGCCACATACCACGCCTTGCAGTGATCTTGAAGTTGAAGTTGTAGGGTCGGGACGGTGTTTAAGAATCATCCGTACACCATGGTTTTTTTAATGGTTTCATGCATTCTGTACAGTTGGTGCTGAGTTACTCTAATATATGAATTTCACTATGTTATGACAGAGCAGGTCTGTTTCTCTGTTGGAAGCAGTAAAATATTTGCATAAGCACTGCCCTTATATGCATCGGTATGTTTCTTTGTGTGTTGCCGTGTATTATGTGATGGAATTGTCACACAAACCTGTAAGAAATTTTTTGGTGCACTATGTTTTCTTTTCACAGGATTCACCGTGTTAGTTGACTCTATAATGTGGCGTCGAATCCTGTGGCCAGAATTTCAAGTTCTCTGGTTTAATTCAGTTCTTAATCGGAGCTCAGAATGGGGTGTATCCTTCATGCTTTTGTGAAACTACATTTATATTTCTTTCCTCCCCCAGATATTAGTTTGCTATCATCTTCCTTTATGTTGCTTTTCTGCGTGTGTTGCATGTTCTGTTCAATTTATGCATTAACAAAATAACAAAACATGATACACTGGTGCTGATGTGAATGACCTACCTCTGTTCCCCTTGACTTAAGCTTAAGACCCATTCAATTCATTGGTACTTTACCTCGGCGCTTCCACGTTCCATGATTGTGGCATACCCTCTTTGCATGGTAAGACAGATCTTGCCTGATTAGAGCTATCATATAATCTGTTTGAATTTTGAATGACCTACAACATAGTGTTTTGAACATATTTGCACGTCGTTTTTCTTGACCCTACGTACTCTTCTTTTTCTTGGAAGTGATGCCGACATATGACTATAAAAACCTAAAGGATGATGATAATTGTCGACGAAATATGGTCGGCAGTCTACCGAGGGGTATGCCCACGGTAGTAGATGAATCGGTAGAGGTGCGCGTAATAGGAACCGGATGGTGACACAAGCGCAGAGACATCGATTTAGACAGGTTCGGGCCGTCTGATCGACGTAATACCCTACGTCCTGTGTCTTTGGTGTATTGTATTGTATATGAGATGAATCCGAGGAGGTCCCTACCCGCCTTATATATAGTCTGGGAGGTAGGGTTACAAGTCGGTTTAGGCCTAGATCTATTCGGCTATATGGTAAGTATTTACAAGGAATACGATATCTAGCATATCCGAACAGATCTTTCTTCATCGCCAAGATGTCTTCTGATTGCCTTGTGGTGCACGTCGACCAGAACTGGGCACCGTAGGCCTTGATCTTATGGGCTGAACCTCCCCTGGCGGTGCGGCCCATGTCCATTGCCGTGGGTACCTGGGGTTATACCCCCCACAGCTAGTCCCTGAGCGCCTTGTATCCTCTGAGCAACGCCGTCTTGAGCAAGTCCGAGCAGTTTAACTTAGAGTCAGCCAACAAATCTGGCAATCTGACCAGTTTAACTGGTAATCCAATCAACAAAACGAAGTGCCAACCAGTTTAACTGGTAATCCGATCGGAAGAAATTGAAGCTAGCTAATTTATCTGGTGACCTGATCTCGATCTTAGCCAAGTAAGGCTTGCCAGAAGGATGTAAGGAGCTCAAGTTTAAAATTTAAAAATTCTCCACCTTAGGTGAAGTGTACACATTTAGGCTTCGTTGGCGAAGTCAGATGATCATCATCCATGACTTAGGCAAAAAGGATATTAGTACTGATATATGCGCCGCAAGGTGCAATATATACATTGTAGTCCCCGAGCCTGATAGTAGGTGAAGAAGACATCTGGTGTCAAGGTCAAAGGATTTTAACGATCACTTAGTCAAAACAACCAATTTCCAGCTTAGCCGAGCACACAGCTAGTCCCCAGCTTAGCTGAAAAACCAGTAAGAAGAAAAAACAGTACATTCACCGCAAGGTGAAGCGTACACACTTAGTCCCCGAGCCTGCTGTAAGATAGAAAACATCTTGTAGCAGGATCAAAGAATTAAGTGTAAAGGACGAAGTCCCCGCACTTAGCACTAGACATCTAGAGTAAAACTTGATAATATCGAGCATTAAAACGTGGAGAAAACGGAAAGTGCTTAGCACTGGATTGCTACGATAGATATACTTATCAAAGCCCCTGACGTGCCGCCCAAGATCAGCACCCTGATCTGGACAACATGGAAAACCTTGATATCACACATGACATGCAGCGTCGGCAAAACGTAGTAAGCCAACAGGCGAATCGGCAGACGAAGTCCCTAGCTTAGCTGGTGAGCCCCCAGCGTAACTGACGATGAAGCGACATACAATCTGACCAGTTGGTTGGCGAAGAATCAAGTACCGAGCAGGCCAACCAAATGGTTGGCGGCGAAGTGAGCACCGAGTAGAAGTGAATGCCCAACGGTCCGACCAACTGGTCGGTGACGAAGTCATGAACCTCGTTTCATAATTGGCTCAATTCCCATGTTTAATGTGTCTGCTTCACTAGCTGCTAGCAGACTGTGTGCAACTATCTTATCTAGTGCGTACCAATTGAACAATGATAAATTCAAGCTAGGATTGTTAGCACCATTTTTCCTTTTGCCTCATTTCTTTATGAAAATCCATGTTGTTCAAGTGCCATTCCTTTCCTTTTGATTTAACTAGTCAATATTTGGTTTTCTTCATCATTTCCAGATATAATAACCGAAAGAAAGCTGGGTGGAATTTGCTTTATATTCTCATGCTTGGTGCCTTTCTTGTCAGGTAGAATATTCTGCCTTGATGATTGTAACGTTTAACTATTGTTGGAATATCATAATACATTCAGCATCGATAACTTATATGATTCCTGTAGTCTAGGATACTCTACTGTGACTTTTATGGCATCCTACAACAATTATCCTGGTGGCTATGCTTTAAAGGCTCTACACGAAGCAGGTGAGGGCTATATGACTACTGTGGAATACATGAACCTGCAACACTTGTGTTCTATAGTCGAACTACAAGTTAGGCGTAGGCGCGTCTATTTATTAAAAATGAACTAAGTTTGAATAAGTTACAAGCAAAGAGTGACAAGTTGAGCACCTGTCTACTCTTAGTGGCCTTTGCTATGATCAGGTTTGTGGACAATAAGTGTTTCTGCTAAAGTTGTGTATTCATCATCAGGCTAACCCTAGAAGGGTAGCAATGTATATTGGTCATACATGGGCCTCATGGGCCTAATACACTCATACTCTCATACTCCAACAGTTTCTTTGTTGGCAGATACCAGTAGCGATTGATCTTTGCATTCCTCTGTTAGCAGATTCTTCAGTGAAGGAAAAGATGGTACATATTGATGCCTTCACTGCGATGAGTGGGGTTTCTTGTTTCTGTGAAAATGAATATCCTTGGAGGTATGTTCCTAAACGACAAAATTAATTCATATGTATGCGATTTTTTTTTTCTGTTGGTTGCTATCAAGAGAAATCTTCTTTCATTATTATCAATTAATATCACCAGTCCATTAGTTTTTTCTTTCTGGATTGTTGATTTTGGACTATCAGGTTAAACTTAGCTCATGTTAGTTTTACAAGTACTCTTTCGTTATAGGATGCAATTATTGTAATACTGAATCAGGCACGTTCCTTTCTTTGCAAACTACACTTTCACTATATTTGGCAAATTATACTTAGTCTCCTACATGACATGTCTGCCTTATATGCTTCCCAAATTTTGTTGTGGCATACTAATTTCATATTTGGAAGCAATGGAATTCAGAAATGGAGCTCGGTTTCTGTGCCCACCAGGACGACGCACCCTCTGGATATCCTAGACGTCCAAAACGGTACAAGTAGACAGAGAAACGGAGCTGTGATTGTCCCAATCCCCACCCGTGCCTCCTTCGTCTCGACCCCCGCATGCAAGCCGCCTTCCTCCCTCTTGATGAATCCTGTTCCCCCGCCTCCACTGCCCCTCCTGGATCCAGCAGCATCAGCGTTGCCAGAGGTGCCGCCCTCCACCACGGCCAACGCTAACCACTGCGAGCATGACTCCCCCGCTTCCATCCCTGTCCAACCGCAGTCCACCACTACCACGGTGAGTGACACCCCTGTCGCCTCATCGTTCCACCCACCACCCGCCACCACCACTGGGTCAGCGACCTCCCCTGCCATCCCTCTACAGCCGGAAGCCATCAAGATCCCCCAAACCCCAACCCCAACCAAAACCATAACAGACCGGAGTTAATGGAGGTCGCCGGACATGAAGAAAGAGCCTAGCATCCTGGAGAAGAAAGGGCTCACCAGTGAAGGAGGTACACACATTCGTACCCCAAAAAGAATCTGTGAACGGATGAATAGCCCCATCAAATTTTTCTCCATAAAAATGATACAGGGTAATGGCCTGGATGTCCAGGGCGTGCTTCATCCTGGGTGCCATATAGTTTTCCTTCAGAAATGCTTACTTTCAAACTGGTCTTCTATTCATCAATGTTGAATGGGTGACTTGATGATGCATCTGTCTTTGTTGCTTATTACTGTGCATTCTTTTGATCTTAAATTTTTATACCACCATTTCTGAGCTTTCGTCGCTTTACATCTAAATTTTCTCACGACTTCGTTTTGCATAATGTTTTGTTGTCTGGCAGATACTCTAAGGAGGAAGAAATTCCCATTGAAGAATTTGAGAAAAGGAATTTCACCTATCTACTGAAGTGAGTTTTATTAGTTTGTGTAGATGGACCATGCAATCATTTTGGATACCTAACAAGTTTTTTAATGCTTGGAGCAACTTTTGTTCATTTGATAATACTTGATGGATTTGACATCGTGATGCTTTAGTGCTCTATCTCTTATCCCGGACATATGAAACAGTGAACACCGCTCCATTGGTGGCTACCGGTGCTTGTTTGCTGTCGATGGATTCTCCAGAGTAAAACTTAAGCCCCAAATTCCCCCGCTCTCTCTGGTATGGTAACTAGCTCATCAAATAAAGTTTGCAAATTTGGGATCTTGCAATAACTATGGTGCCACCAGCATATTCCTTATTCTGTCAAGAATTTACTGTCTCTTTGTTTGCACATTTGCTGCAGGTGAAAGAACCCAAGGTGTTTGCACATGGGAATATGAGAGACCCTGACATTCTTTCACTGAATTGGCCCGGTTGTCCTTGAGGACAGTGAGACACCCAGATGCCTGTCGTAGGACCACTAACTGCCAACAGTGAAGATGTGTTCAGTCAGTCTGTGTGATACATATATGATATAGTAAATCTCTGGGTCTTGCCACGAAGCTACCTGCAAATCTAGATGGGGGTCGACTGCCATTTTTAGGTGAAAAATTCTGTCACGTTTTAGAGCCGGAAGAAAGTACACACGCTTTTCCTGAAATGAATGGGGGGAATCATAGCAGTCTTGTATAACAACTTGCTGAATTTATTTTCCTTTTTGAGACAGCTTTCAGACTTTCTTTTATATAACAAGAGCTTTCAGACTTTATTGTGAGCAGGAGGAATACAATCGTGCAGTCGTGCTGGATGCATACTTGCTGCATTCAAGATGGTATGTGTTTTCTATCTGCTGCAGCCCTGCTTTGCGACTCGTATTCGGCGGCAGGCTGGCCGCATTCGTGCTGTATACCCGGACGCTCGCTCGCAGTCGGCGGCGACACGAAGCATGATCAGGTGGCCGCTTATAGAGAAGGCTAGCCAGTCGCCAGTGGACGGCAGCAGTGTCGTCGCCTCGTCGGAATGGAGCCACGGAGGTCGTCGTCTACACTACAGAGGTTAGGACAGGGAGAGGTTACTGCAGAGCTCATGGGACAGCCCAAAAGCAAAGCAGTAGCATTAACTGTAAGTAGCTCTCCTCCTACTTGGCAGTGGCAATGGCAGGGTCAAGGATGGGGGCCCGGCCGGGCCTACCGGCTAACTACTACCGCCACTCGCTGTGGCCCCATACGGTCTTGGTGCCTGTCCACCATCATTCATTTGGTCGGTGGCTACTACCGGCTTCATCAGCCGCTCGATCCAGTTCGATGCCGCTTTGATTACTACTTGTGGGCGTTAGTGGTGTAGTAGCATCATTCTGGCATATACATAATTCGGAGCGCACGTCCAAGTGCTGTGTATGTGCCCGCCGGGCCGGCGACGGTAGGGAGAACCGAACCTGTGCCTTTTTTGTGGTGACCGGTCACCGGTGTCTGTCTTTTGAGTTTCGATTGACATCATCCGCGCGCACACACCGCACGCTCCAGTGACACACAACACAAGTAATGCGCACACAAAGCGACGATTCACTCCTCAGCTTTACACGGTGATTTGTGTTGGAATTGGATCTAGCGCATGACGTGGAGGCAACGACGCCGCGCAACTGGACGCACGCCATCAATGTGGTGCTGCTGCCGCGTGCTGGTGCTGGTGCGCGCAGTGCAGGGGGACTTGGCAGTGTGCAGGTGCTGCGGATTCGGTTAACCAGCCTGGGTTGTTCGGATTCGGATGATCGGCAGATCGGCAGATCCAGACGGAGCCGGCCGCGCGCGCCGCGAGAGCCCGAGAGGCGAGACAACACAAAGGAGAGGGGGCCGAGGGCGCGTCACATGGCCGCGACGCGACGAGCGCACGCACGGAGACTCCGCACCTCGAAAGGGACCGAGGGAGGGGGGAGCCAAGTAGCCAGCCAACCCAACACGACGACCCATCACGCCCCCCAGCAGCAAATCCAGATGTGCACCTAATCTAAGGCTCCGTTCGTTTCGCTAAAAAAACAAGTCGAAACATTGTTCCGACTGATTTATTGTAAGAGAAAAACATAGTTCTGGTTAAAAAAATAAGCTAAAAAGTATAGATTATAAGACAAGCGAACAAGCCGCTACATGTGGATGGATATCATATATCTATCGATATAATTCTACTCTAATCAGCACCATGTTACGGCGGGGCCCACACGCGAGCCACATGTTCCCAGCGAGCAAGATTTCTTATCTTCCTTTTTCCTTTCCTTTTCTTTTTTTTAATATAAAAGACAAAAACATTCTGTTTCCCCGTTGCTGCCAGTAGCCATGGTCGAACCTTCCGGAACATGTTTTTTCCCAGGGCTCCTACTACCGGCTGTCTGCTATTTTGTCCGCCGAGAAACGCAGGTAGAGTCGGCAAAGTTGAACAGGTAGATGCCAACAGCCTGTTTGAGTGTTTGACCCCGAGCGCGAACGCTACAAGGTCGCTGCTGCTTCGGTGTCAAGCAACTGCACGCGCTTTGACTGACTAATCACCATCATCTACGCGATGCTAGCAGCCGTCCCTTGCTTAGCACCTGAACTCTCGCGCCCGCGCACGGCGGATTTGCGTGTCCAGCCGCTGGCTGGTATCTGAATCGCTTGCTGATATTCGTGGCAACTTTATCTTCGGTTTTTTTTTGGTGGGGGGGGTGGGGGGGGGGCGTGTTGATCGACAAATACGTACGTACAGACGCTCTCTTGCCTTAATGCCTTTGTCCTACGCAGCGTCAGGTCAGAATGTGGTCATAGTGTGGGCACTCCAAGGCAAAGCTACCCCGAACCAAACTACTACTTCGGTACGTGCTAGTAATACCGACTGCAAAATCATTTCACCTGCAGAAGTCATTCCTAACCTACTACCATCCTGTAACTGTAAGTACCCAAAAATTGACCAGGCACTGCATCTCGGGCCAGATGCTCCGTTAGCCCAGGTCTGCATTTTGCCAGTCACTACTACTACTACTATTGTTGTTCGTTTCAAAAAAAAAAAAAAGAGGCCAGTGCTATTTTTCTTTGGCAATTAAAAAGGACATCGTTGCACATTATCTCAGCAGCATTTCGTGCTACCGACTCCTGGGGCAGAGAGAGAGAGAGAGAGAGTGTGTGTACACGAAGTCCCTGAAGTACAGACATGATAGTGCTGTCTAAAAACACGGAGGGAGCCGCTGCGACTTCCCTGTCAGTCCGGCTCCGGAACCACGGAGTTGGCTGCTTATACGCAAGGAAATGTGAAGAACTGAACGGAGAGAGCCCACCAAAAAACTCATTTGACAGTGTTTGGTCTGCATGACGACGTTGCTTTGCTTTACAAATTTTTTAGAATTCAATACGATCTCGAGGACTTCATTCAACCCAAACTTCCTCTAATAAATAAATACGCGCTGCAACCACTTGATTCATCGGAAATGCTGTACACGTAAGAACAACCGCCATTATATTACGGCGAACTCGTTTCACGCACATCTCAACGTCGCGGCGGTAATAACTGACAGTGAGTTACGTATATATAGCAGATGCGGGTGCGGTAGCAGTAACCCAAAGAAATTCGGTTCTTCAGAAAATGAATCCGCCGCTGGTGTAGTTCTTCGATTTACTTTACCCAAGAAGCAAGAAGAAAAAGGACCAAGTAAAAATAAATAATACAAAATAAAGATTAATGGTACTAGACAGAGCTTAATTATGCCAGGCTAATGGAGCGATGATCGCACAAAGTGCTGTGACAGGGCGAGGAAAGCAAAGCGAGAATCCGGTGGAGTTTTTTTCCCTAGCATTTGGCATGCATTTTTTGGGGGGGATGGGGTGATGGGGGTGAGTTGGCACCACTATCTAGCCAGCTTCCTATTTGATGCCTCCCTCCGTTTCTTATCCCCTCCAAAAGAGAAAACAAATAGAGCTACCACATCAAGAAAGAAAGAAAGGAACCAGGGCCTCCATGCTTAGGTCAACACAAGAATATGTACACCAAATATTCTCTCCCTATCGCATTCCTCCCTTGGGCCCTGACATGGTCTGTCAGCGTCCCCCTCCTGCACCGCGCTGAGCTAAACTTACTCCTAGAAAATGGGTGGGGGTGGTCACAAAATGCAGGACCGGAATTTCTTTGTTTCACTAATATAAATTCTTGAATTACAATCATGCTCTCTTTTGTGAGGGAATTACAGTCATGGTGAAGTGGGTCCCCTCCTACCCTACGCTGAGCTAAACACAAATGTCACATGATGAAGCGGGAAGACCTACGTATTCCCAAATATTATATGGCGGTTTGGGAAATATGGATACCAGGGCGATGAATGAGGTTTTGCTAGGAAAATGGGTCAGGAGAATGTTGAAAGATAACAAGGATGATTTATGTTATACTCTATTAAAAAATAAATACTTCCAAAAAAATCATTTGTGTATTTTGAAGGGAATATGAAATCGCAATTCTAGAAAGGGGGTTGTTAAGATCAGAAAAAGATTAACAGCCTGTTCAGTTGGCTGGTTCGTTTCGTTGCTGGTTCGTGAAGAAGTACTGCTGGCTGGTTTGTGTGAGAGAAAAATACTGTTCCGGCTAGAAATTTACGATCGTTTACGACAAGCCACAGCCAAACTGAACAAGCTGTAAAGTGAGGTCTACCTTCTAAGGTGAATAATGGAAGAAAAACTTTATTTTGGGAGGAGGTTCGGTCATGTGATATTCCTCTGGAACTTGAGTTCCCTAGTCTTTATAATATATGTCGGGGATAAACATTATATGGTTAAAGATTGTTGGTAGGGAGATGAGTGGAATGTTAGGTTTAGAAAACCTTTAGGGCAATATGATTTTGGGGAATGGGAATGATTGATAGATGTAGAATCGAGGTGGCCGACGAGAGAGAATAGTCGTTTCTAAAACTTAATCGTGAAGGCTAGCCAATTTAAATGCAGAAATGAATCAACGGTCTAGCCTCGACTACACCCCTCTAATAAGTTTGCTAGCACCCTAACAAAAGAGTAAACTAGTGAGCAACTAGGGTGCCGAGCTAGGGGAGCTCATCTAAATAAGTCTAGTTAGAGCAACTCCGGCAAGAGCACTCAAATCAGGGGCCCCATATCTAATTTGGGTGCTCCCCCTACTTTTGTTGGCCCTCTATTTTGCAATCACCTCCACCAGAAGCCCCCAAATCCTTTTTAACAGACAATGACAATTGGGACCCACTTGTCATCCTCTGCTCTAGCAACTGAGCTATCTCAACACAACCACCCTGGGGAAGCGGCCGGCGTGTACGGGCAGGAGGCGTCACGCCCCGCGCGACCACGCAGTGGAGCAGCGGCCATCTTCCTGAGCACCGGCAAGGGGAAGAGCCGGCCCTGCACCAGATGCGGTGGGAGAGCGTACAGGCGGGAGGCGTCGTGGGAGGGAGATCCGGACAGGGAGGAGATC